GTCGAGAGGGGGGGGGCCGACACGCGCTGCGCGTAAATGGGTTTCGGATGGCCCCGTGGAGTCGCGGTAGGGCGTCGAAGCGGCTGTGGATCGGGGCACCTGAATGGCGAGGGTTTGAAAAGTGGGCAGCTGGGGCGGCGCAACCCACATGCGCGGCGCTGGGCGTGAACAGGGCCCCGCGCTCGCACTGAGCAGTGGCGGCAGGCGGCGCCAAGCCCCCGGCGTCACACCGACGGCTGGGTGGCGAGAAGCGGCTGCGGCCCCTCCTGGCGGCGCCGCGCCGGCGCCGGCGGACGGCGCAGCCCCTCCCACACCTGCCGCTCCTGGCCTGATTTCGGGGCGCGCCACCGGCAGGGCCTTGACCGTCCCGACCGCTATTTGACCGAGCTTTGACCGTCGTTTGACCGCAGGGCGTGGCGCACCTGGTGGAGCACGTGACGTTCCTGGGCTCCAAGAAGCGCGAGAGCCTGCTGGGCACGGGCGCGCGCGCCAACGCGTACACCGACTTCCACCACACCGTGTTCCACGTCCACGCGCCGCTGGTCAACGGCGTGACCGACGCGCCGATGCTGCCGCAGGCGCGTTTGGGGGCGGCTTGGGCGGTGTGGGCGCCGCGGCGGCGGCGCGAGAGGGCGCCGCGGCGGGCGGGAGGGGGGAGCTGCTTGCGGCGCGTGCACGAGCGCGGGCTCCGTTCTTCGGCGACTCCTTTGGGGGCCGGCCCAGCTCGCCCCGCCTGCGTCGCATCGGCGCGCCCGCCCTTCCCCCTACGCCGGAACCTCAGAAGCTCCCCTTCTTCCCATGGCGTTGACCCGTTTGACCGCCCGCCCTGGCCCCCTCCGCGAGCAGGTGCTGCAGGCGCTCGCGGAGATTGCGTTTGCGCCGCAGTTCCTGCCCACGCGCGTGGAGAAGGAGCGCAAGGCGGTGCTGGCGGAGGCTCAGGTGTGTATGAGTGTGTGTGTGTGTGTGTGCGCATGTGAGAGAGTGTCTGTGTGTGTGTGTGTGTGAGAACGTGCGTGCGCGCACGCGAGCGCGCATGTGCGTTTGTGTGTGTGTGTGTGTGTTTGTTGGGGGGAACGTGGAGTGAAGTGGGGGCCTGCGGGGGCGGCGCCCGTTTGCATTTATTTGCGCCCACTGAGCGCGGCAGGCGGCCGGCCGGGGGTTGCGCAGCATTAGGCTGTCGGGGCGGCTGGCGCCTTTCTTTGGGGGTGGGGACGGGCGCGGCGGCGGGCGGGCGGGCGGCAGATGTGGAGGCGGCCGCGGCGGCGAGCGCGAGGCGCTGAAATGCCATGCTGCTGCCAAACAGCGGCTCGCGCTGCCCTCTCGCGGCACGCACGCATCCCCCCCGTTGAAACATGATGCATGCACGCATGCCCCCTTCACAGCACGGCACAACGACGCACACGTGTCCACACACACACGCTCTCACATGCACACGTACACACTCGCACAGCAAGCCTGCAATCCCCCCCCCTTCACCCCAACACCCACCCAATTAGATGATGAACACCATTGAGTACCGCGTGGACTGCCAGCTGCTGCAGTACCTCCACGAGGAGAACAACCTGGGGTACAGGTGACGCGCGCATGGCCGCCCGATGGCGCGCACCCTGTGTCGGGGGCCGGTCACTTTCCGCAGGGCCAGTCATCCCGTGCCCCTCCGCAGCCAGCAGCGCGGCGGCCGCCGCGCCTTGCGGCCCCTCCGCCCCTGGCGCGCCCGTCGCCCCGCGGCCGCTCTGGACGCCGCCGCCGCCCTGTGGCCGCCCCCGCGCTTGCGCGCCTCCGCGCTGTCGCGCCGCTCAGCCCCTCCTGCCTCCGGCGCTCCTGTTGCGCCTCACATCCCCCC